GTGAGGTTTTTCCCACGAAAGCTTATGCCCAAATAAATCTGTTAGTCTTTAAGGTGCCACCAGACTCCTTGTTGTTTTTGTAGATACAGACTAACACGGCTACCCCCGATACTTAGTGCTAACAGATTACTACAACTCTGTCACCTTTTAAAACCACAGATTGTAACTCATTTGTACATATATGTTTGCGTGCTTTAACCTGTAAATAGCTCTCTCATTTCTTTTTCCTAGCTAATAAATCCTTAGTTTACCACAGGATTGGCTACACATGTTGTCTTTGGTGTGAGATCTGAGGTACAAATTGACCTGTGGTAAATGACTGGTTTCTTAGGACTGAAAATAACCCAAATATTTTGTGATCTTTGATGTATGGCAACAAGCTATCACTAACTGGCAAGACAGACTGGAATGCCCACGGGAACAGTCTGTGACTCCATGGTAAGACTGTTAGAGTGCTTCAGGAGTTCACGTTTGTTACTGGGTTGGTGAAATCTAATTACAGAGCATACAACCAGCTGCCCTTCTTTTTGATAGTCTGCCCCGAGGTTGGCACTCATGGACATGAAACACTCCAGACAGCCTGAGATATATTAAGAGATTTTAAATTTTCTGTCTGATACAGTACATACCCGTTCCTTTGCTTATATATGGGGGCTTGAAGAATTTCACAGCACCATACAAGTTGACTATAGTTCCGTCTTTAAGATGATTCAGAGGAGTGTATGTGTATTTTGGTGCAACGGGCTGGAAAGAGACAATAAAAAAGTGGATACATATGAAAACATTACTTCAAAAAAAATCAATCCAAAATTATTTCTTTTAACCTTCCCACACCAAATATTGTCCTTTTCTTGCCATTTTTTAAAAAAATATGCACTATCTAGTCTAGTCCCCTCACGTTTTAGAGCAGGAGTCTACCTTATTCATTTTAGGAGCTCAAAATAAATATGTCCACTACCCACAGGCAGCAAGCAAGCATGAGGAGATATTTGATTTTCACTCTCCTATTCTTTCTGTGATTGCGTTTTTCTTGTTATAAATATAAACTAGTCAATTCAACTTATTTGAATGTGTCTGTCACTATGTGAATGCAAACAGTACAAGCATGACAAAGCACACATGAAAATATCTTTTTAATCGATTTTAACTTTATCCATCGTCCTGGCATCTGAGGACATTTTATAGATGAGTAGTAATCTGATAAAATATTTTTGTAATTCTTGTTTGCAGAGATCACAACGCATCATTATTGCTCTTGAGTCTCAGGGTACATCTATACTACCTGCCGGATTGGCGGGTAGTGATCTATCTATCAGGGATCGATTTATCGCATGTAGTGTAGACGCGATAAATTGATCCCTGATCGCTCTCCCGTCGACTGCTGAACTCCAGCTGGGCGAGAGGCGGAAGCAAAGTCGACGGGGAGCGGCGGCCGTTGATCCCGCGCCGCAAGGACGCGAAGTGATTCTAAGTCGATCTAAGATACGTTGACTTCAGCTACGCTATTCTCGTAGCTGAAGTTGCGTATCTTAGATCGATCCCCCCCCCAGTGTAGACCAGGCCTCACATCTCCTGCAACAGTAATCCAGAGAAATTTCTCTAGCTCTTAAAATTTTTGAACCTCTGAGGTACTTGAAGGCTAGCTCAGGGCTCTGGCTTACTGAGCATCCCCCACATAAAGTCCCACAATGTGCCTGCCAGCTCCTTTCATGAACAAAAAAACAACAGTTCCCCCAAATTAATTGAAGATGATAAAAAAATTCTACAATTTTTTCCTACAAAAAACATAAAATGGACACATAGATGAAAGACCCAGGTCATACCTCAAAAAGTTAAATCTCCAAACTGAGGGTGGGAGATGGTGGATCAGTGAGAATGCTGTGTGATACTTTCAAAGAATTATATCCCTTCTTTAAAAATATCTCACACACAACATTTCCACCCTGTAGGTCTACGGATGTTTCAAACAAAAACCAATCACTGCAATAGGCAGCGTTAGATGGAGGCCAGTGTCCAACAAGAACCAAGTTTTGTTTGTTTTTAAAATCAAAGGAAAGTAGAGATAGCTCTAACTTGTGAAAAGCACAAATATAGGCTCACGGATCCTTCACCTTCACCTTCAATGTCGTGGTGCGGAATGCGCGGCAAACACAGATCACCATCTAATAGTCGCCTGTACGGTGCTGATGCTCCAACAAGCAGGTAAGTCCTCTGGATGATGAAGAAGATTGACATCGACGCACTCTGTGTGCCAGGTTTAGCCAACAGATTTTGTATTGACGTCAGCAATCGATGCTCAGCTCCAGCTAATCTGCCAGACGACGTGGATGTTGCCGGGTCCCTGTTCACTTCTACCCTCAACCAATCTGCCCAGCAGACAACTGGCTATCGGCATCCAGCACGCCGACCATGGCTACCAGAGGAGGCCTTCCAAATAATTAAATTGAAGGCCACAGCCCGCCAGCATAGTGATAAGCACATTCGTAATCAGCTGAAGCAAAAATTTAACACCCTGGCACTCTGCGTTCGCGAGGCATATTATACCAAGTGGCGGATGATGTTGAATTTGGCTTAGCCATGGGCGACTTTAAGCCAGCATTCCACATCATTCGCAACCTCAGCGGTCAAGAGGTAATCACTAAAAACGGCATCCTGAATGACAGCCAAGGCCATCCGGGTAAATCGGATGATGACATTCTCTCACGCTGCATGGATCCAGACATTTGTACTGATACACCAACATTGGATGAAGTGAAGCGTGCCATCTCTAAACTGAAAAACGGATGTGCAGCCGGTGCTGATGGCATCCCCTCAGAGATGCTAAAATGTGCTTTTGATCCTGTAGCAGAATCACTTCTGGCCATCTTTCATCTGGTGTGGAGAACTGGAACCCTGCCAACCGCCTAGAAGGACGGTATTGTGATCTCACTCTATAAGGGCAAGGGACCGTGCAGTGAATGTAAGAGCTACACGCCGATCACCTTGCTTTCCGTTCCAGGGAAGGTGTTTGCGCATGTTTTGCTGGCACGCCTGGAGCCTTTGATACATCAGAAGCATCGTCCCCAACAGTCAGGCTTTACGAGGAACAGGTCCACATTAGACGCCATTTGGGCCCTACTTGTTGTCGGAGATACATTTTGAGTTCAGGAAGCCCCTTCATGTAGCAAATGTTGATCTTAAGGCTGCATTTGATTCAGTAGACCATGTCGCGTTATAGACGGCCTTACAGGGCGTAGGTGTCCCTACCACTCTGCTGGACTTGATTAAAGAGCTGCATACTGGAACCACTGCCCATGTTCGTCTGAAGAACCGGATGTCAGTGCCTTTTAAATCAGTATCTGCTGTTAGGCAGGGTTGCATTTTGGCCCCTGCACTCTTTTGTCGGGCAATGGATTTCATAATGCTACATTCTGTCAGGTCCACAGACATCGAGATCAGTGATCTCTCGCTCAGACCTTGACTACGCTGATGACGTTCTTTTAGTACAAAGCCCCGACAGGTTTCGTGAGGCACTCCAGCATATGGAGGAGGAGTCAGCTAAGATTGGTCTCCATGTTTCATGGTCAAAGACAAACTGCAAAATCTAGGACCAGGTCCACCTGCGACTCCAATCTCTTTGAACAACAAAACTGTTGAATCAGTTTCCAGCTTTTGCTATCTGGATTCTATACTTATCCGCTCCTCCAATTCTCACATGGAAGTTCTCATTGGGTTGGCATTGCAGCATCTGCCAGGGGCCATTTACAACAGATATGGAATCAACATCATCTTCGTATGACAAGCAAGTTCAGGATTTATTCGAGCTGTATCCTTCCCATACTGTTGTACAGCTGCGAAACATGGACACTATGCCGCTCAGACTGGACAAAGCTGGAGGTTTTCCACACAGAATGTCAATGTCATTTATTGGGCATAAAGTGGAATGACTTCATCTGTAATGCAGATGTTTATGGTTGCTTGGGTCTACAGACTACTGGGGCCACTGTCCACAGGCAGCGCCTTACGTTTTTCGGACATGTTGCAAGGATGCCACAAGACGTTCCAGCCAACGCCGTTCTCTAGTTGACTTGTCTGGGATAAAATTCCACCAACTGAGGGGTGGAGGCGACCCAGAGGCAGACCTCCTATTAGATGGGTTCATCAAGCCTTTTCCGATGTTGGATTCTCAGGCCGTCAAGCCTTTGCGGTTGCACAGGAACGGACCAAATGGCGAACAATCGCTAAAGCCAACTGTCTGGCTAAGCGTTCGAGAGAGAGAGAGAGAGAGAGAGAGAGAGAGATCCTTCACCAGAGAAATAAAAGCTTCCAATATAAAGCTAACTCAAATAAGTGCCAACCCAAAAGAAACAAAAATTCTAGGAACTGGAAGAGTTTGGGTTCCCCTACTTCAGCTTCTGCTTTCCATTTTCTGCCCTGTTAAAAAGCTGTGTTCCAACCCAGAAGTCCTTTTGTATTTCGGAGGTGAGCAAAGTGATCCATGTTCCTACTTCACAAGGGTGCTGTGATACCTATTTTGGTCCCATTCCTGCAATGTTTTGTGTATGGGTGGACTCCTGAAACTGTGTGAACCCCAACTAAGTTGACCTTTTCTAGGGTGCAGGAATTTGCCCTAGTTGAACTTTTAAAGATTTTGGCAAGAAACGCGCTGGAGAAGCGTGAAGTACTATTTACAAACTTTTAGGGTATTTTCCATGCATGTTATTTGCAAAATGCAAAGCCAAAGAAATGGCCACTTAGAAAAATTTTCTACTCATTCACTTTCAGTGAACCTTTTAAATTACATATGCAACTTAAAAAACTACTAGAATATAAACTCACCATGGATGCTGTTTCTGAAGCAGTGACTGTACTTGGCTTAGTATAAATCTGAGGAGAAGAAACAGTCAGCAGATTTATGGATTACAAATCTGAAAACAGTACAGTACAATGGTAATAACAAATACAATTTCAAACTGCTTAAGCAAGTATTTTTAAAATTCTTTATTCTCCAACAAAAGACAAGTCTGACTTCAGGTGATAAAAGATAAGTCAACATAATGCCTTTTTTTCCTCCTTTCGTCCATGATTTATGAAACTACAAGAGACTTACATAAGAGTCTTAGCCTTATATAAAAACAGAAAGGCCAGTGCTGGGTGCCTAGAAGTGGGGAGAGTGGAGTTCAGGTCCCTGCTATGCCCTATGTGTGTCCTTAGGCTGCTGCACCCTCTGGCTTGAAATGGTTTGCATTATATACAGTGTTTACAGTTGGGGGTTCAATGGCTATCAGCACCCCCATATAAAAAATGTTCCAGCACCCTTGGTAACGACTACGAGACACTCACAGACCCAGGAATTGGGTCATAAATTCTTCAATGGGAGACAAATAACCCCAGCCCCATATCCTGAGTCTCCTACTCCCACGGGAAATGACCATCCCAAGCCTCATCTCAGTATCCCCATTTCCGCTGCCATCACACTCTCCCACCTGCCAGCACCACCTCAGAAGCAGTACTGGGACTGAGCAAGGTTTCCCCACGAGTTTCTCCCCCTACTTAGCAGACTCAGCTAAGGCTTGAAAGACCATACTCAAAGCATACTTAACAATGGTTCACTGTCAAGCTAGGAGAGCATATCTAGTGGAGTTCTGCAGGGGTCTGTCATAAGTCTAGTACTTGTCAATATTTTCATTACTGACTTGGATAATGGAGTGGAAGGTATGCTTATAAAACATGTGACTAACACCAAGCTGGGAGGAGTTGCAAGCACTTTGGATGACAGAACTGGAATTCAAAATGACCTTGACAAATTGGAGAATGGGTCTGAATTCAACAAAATGAAATGCTATAAAGACAAATGCAAAGCACTTATTTAGGAAGGAAACATCAAATATACAAATACAAAATGGGGAATAACTGGTAACTGATGGTAGTGGATCACAAACAGAATGAGAGCCAACAATGTGACGCAGTTGTAAAATAGGCTAAATATTATCTGAGACTCAGGAGGTAATTGTCCCACCCTACCTGGCACTGGTGAGGGCTCAGCTAGAGTACAGTGTCCGATTCTGGGTGCCACACTTTACAAAATATGTGGACAAACTGGAAAGAGTCCACAGAAGAGCAACAAAAATGATAAAAGATTCAGGAAACCTGACCTATGAGGAAAGGTTAAAAAAACCCTGAGCTTGTGTAGTCTTGAGAAAAGAAGACAGAATGGGGACCTAATAACAGTCTTCAAATATGTTAAGGACTGTTATAAAGAGGATAGTGACCAACTGTACTCCATGTCCACTAAAGGCAGGATAAGAAGTAATGGGCTTAATCTGCAGCAAGGGAGATTTAGGTTAAAGTTATAGTTAAAGTATAGTTATAGTTAAAGACAAGAATAATTTGCAATAGGCATCCAAGAGACGTTGTGGAATCCCCATCATGGGTGTTTTTTATGAACAGGTTGGACAAGAGATGTCTAGGGATGGTCTAGGTTTACTTGATCCTGTCTCACTGCCGGGGGGCTGGACTTGATAATCTTTCGAGATTCCTTCCAGCCCTGCATACCTGATTCTACATCCCTCAGTATTCAAATAGTCAGCAAGCTTAAGCAATTTATGAGCAATTTAAAAGATCTGGAAAATTGATATTTGATTGACTAAAGTAAAAAAAAATGAAGGCTAATTTAAAAGACACTGGTCAATGGGACTACTCTTGTGAGTAAAGTTAATGTGTTTGGAAGACTGGAACCAAAGTCACAGAATTATACCACAACAGCAGGGTCCACATGGACATTTACTGTATGGCAGGCTAATGTGGGATAGATTTACATCATAACTTGCTGCAAACTACCTGTTCATCTAGACAAGCCCCTAGTCTACCAATATATCTGTTTGGCATGTGGTACGTTTTATAAGTGCAGGAAAACTAATGCAGCACTATTTTATTTGTAAATAATTATAGCAAGATGTTTGACATTGGTTTGTGGCTAGTTGTGATTAAGAAATGATGTTACACAAAGTGGCTAATACTTTACCTACCCATTGTTTCATGTATATTACTTTTAAGGGTGTTTAAGCATCCTATATTTACATCATCACTGTCACCTACAACTAATGCAACAAAACAGTTTGCACTATAACCCTTTTTCACTGGTTCACAACTCTACTGTGGGCTTAAATAACCCATACAGGTGTTTTAGAGGCAAAATTTAATTCAACTTTTTTGAATTTAAAGAGCTAAAAAATCCGTTTAAAAAAGTTCCAGCCAAACAGAAGTTTGGTGCTTGATACTTAGCATATAACTAGCCACTAATGAGGCTATTTGGTGTATGATTTTGGGTGAGAAATTTTAAAATAAAGTTATAAGTAACTGAAAAATCATTTCTGAGCCTGATCAGAGTAGTCATCAGCTAAAATGTTTTCATGCAATCCTACCTCATTTCATATCACAACAGTGCTTCTAGGGGGGAAAAAGGCATACATTCACTGTTTAGCCTGCCAGGTACTAGAACTGCTGTTGGGATAATTTGCATGAGGGATATTGAAAAATTGTCATTAAAATGCAGCAAAGATTATAAAAGCCTGGCTTATGAAAGACAAAAGACAATAACAGGTCTAAAATAAAGATCACAGATCCTGCAAGGAACATGGATATCTTTTCAGTAGAAAATATACAGTCATCGCTATGTAAACAGAAGAACCGCTGGACTTACTATCCCAGTCAAATTACAGCAGAAGCAAAAGAGGATAATGACCATTCCCACATCTCGGTAAGTTAGAAGTATCTAAGGCCAACACCATTTAAGTGCTAATATTATTAAAACAATTTTTTTCTTAATAAATGAAAAATGAGAGGTCTAACTATAGATTAACATACCCTTTAATGCTCCAGAGGTAAAAATATAACCCCACAACAGCCTGGAAATGAATATAGTTACAGATTTTACACTGTGCCTCTAAGAAACATAGTGCTAAAATAACAGCCAAGGGAGAGGGGAATTTATGGTGATTTAAAGCACCTTTGCACCCTCTCAATTCTTGGCTGCTGCAGGACCAGTGCAGCCCACAGAGTAACTCAGACAACTCTGGAGGGCTGTGTAAATTGCAACAGCCCATCCCTGGCTGCCTATGGGCAGAATCGCCAAAGCACTACATGCGCTGACCCCAACCACAGCTCCTGATACATCCCTGCCATGTCAGTCCTTCCTTCAACATGTCACCTATATCTGGGGCCTCACTAGGCAGTGTAAACTGCCTTGCGTAAAGTGTGCATCAGGGGAAATTCTCCCGTGGCCGGATCCGGCACTTTAAGATTCCCATTACTCTGCCATAGCTTTATAAAAGGGCTGTAGCAGACAGGATTCCCATCTCCACCCCCTGCCAATTCCCAGGTTCCTACAGCAAGGAAAAACCAGGACCGATTGCATATCCTGTATATTTTATAGTATACATTTTCTTGACAAGCTACATCACTTTGAAAAAATGGGCTAGGAAACAGCTGTCCAAATGAATGTTGCTGTATGAACTTTAATACTGGCTTTGACTTTTTAACTATGTTATCTGTACAACCTTAATTTTGCATTACAGTATGTTTTTACATTTAATTTTTGATAGAAAGTGACATACCATAAGGTGTCTCTCAAACCTAAAAACTTTCAAGGTTTTGCACCATAATTGGCTATTTCTTAATAAGCAAACAATCTATGAGCTCATCTACATGGTCCAACAATTCGGACTACTGGGGAGTGAACTGCAGCACTCAAAGTGCTTTTCTGTAATTGCCCATCGTGGACACTGCTAACGTGAACTAAAAGGTATCTCGTTCATGTTAACATAGTCCTCTTCAAATAGTACTAAGGGAGCACAAACTAAGTACCTTTCAGTTCACACCAGCAGTGTCCACATAGGAAAGTTATAGCACAGCACTTTGATGCATGCTGCAATTCACACCCCCGCAGTCAGCACTTGCACAATGTAGATATAGCCTATGGTACTTACAGTAATGTGCTTTTTCTATGGTACTTTTTCTCTTCTGTTAAACAACAAATGAATGACAACTTGGACATCTAAAGTGGAAAACTGAACCTTGTGTACCCACGTACATAAACGGCTGATCCTGCATCTTCAGATACTTCCAGATGACAGCAGTGTCGGTCATCTTCATTTGCAGAAGGTGACTTAGCCACATTAAATCCAGCTACAACCATGGTGTCCTATTGAAAAGACAAAATTAAACCAATAACTGACATTGTTCTTTATTCGATATGCTGACTCTCTAGGCCATCTTCCAAAGAACAACGTATGTTTCAACAGCCCTATGATATGCCAGGTATCCCTAATATGGTGAAATGGCACACATGAAATCAGGAGTGACACCTACAATAACTATCACCTAGTACTCACTAAATTGATCTGAAAGTTATGGTTAATCTATGGAGGTGCTTAACGAGGGATAAATGTGAAATGATTCATATCACCCCAAACAACAGTGAGACTTGAACTAAATGCTCTGGATTCAAACATTCCCAGACTTCAAAACCCTGGCACCTCTCCTCATGGGCTAGATAAAGGAAGTACTGGGTGAAATTCTATGGCCTGTATTTGGCAGGAAGTCAGACGAGATTTCACAATGGTCCATTTTCTGACTTAGAAGGGGGGTGAAAGTAAGGCGGTACGGGCCAGTACGGTGTACCGGTAAAAAGTGGCCGCCAGTACTGGCCTCTACCCAGATGACTTTAAAGTGCTGCCGTTGGCGGCCCTGCTGGGCTGGGGGAGTGCGGGGGCGGGCCCACAAGAGTGGCAGCGACGTTAAAGTGATGCCGCGGCAAAAGACCCTGCTTAAAGTGCTGCCGCGGCAACGCTTTAATGTTGTTGCCCTTTTTGCCCCCCGCCCCCCTCTTGTCCGCTGCCGCCTGGTGCGGGCCAGGCAGCATGGAAGGACTGGCTGGGGGATGCTGACCCCCCCCAGCCCCGCCCCGTCCGCCCGAGGCCCCTCCCCCTCTGGGGGCCAGAGCAGGCCCCTGTACTGGTCAGTCTTCGGCTTTACTTTCACCCCACTTAGAAGTCTATGAGGTCCCTTGAAAAACGTGTCCTTTCTTTATTTCAGACATTGTTTGGAACCTCAAATCTTATACCTTTTGTTTGTAAAATGAAAGTAGTTCGTAATATGAAGCATAGCCATGGTCCCCTACCCCCACCACTTTTACTACTTCCGCTTATTTGAAAGAAAAATATGTCCACCACCAGTAGCAAAATCAGAAATGCCACCTGAAGGAAAGAAGGAGAATATTTTTTGTTGAAATATCATTCAAATTTCAAAATGCAGGAATATGCAAGCAGCACTTCTTTCTAAAAAGAATTTCTAACTACTGGACTAAGCAAAAAGAAAAGTATTAAGTGTTCTAGGGATTAACCTAGAGAATTGCACTAACAAGATACAAATATTCCATGTCCTTGAAATGTGCAAATCATACATTCACAGGTCCTTTAACAATACAAGTAATTTGCAAGTAGTATAATTTACACACAAAATTCCAAGCTGAATGATATATATATATATATATATATATATATGAACATTTTAAAAAGGTTCTTCCTTCAATGTAAGTTTTTAATGAGGAACACACAAACATATGCCCCTCAATCTCTCTCCTTGTTCTTTTTCAAACAAAGCTGTTTGCCCAACAGTCAATCTGGCATATAGCCAAAGGGAAGTTATTTTATGGAGACTGCCTTTTGTAAAGACACTCTCTTATGGGTTTTTTTTTAAAATAGCTTTTAAATGTCAATGAGTTGAAAACTATACTAAACCCATAATGGAATATGCTTGCAAGAAATGGTTCTATTTGAGAAAGAATGTTGTACCATTGGCCTGTCAAAAAAGGAATAAAGAAAGTTATTAGTCACAGGAGGAAGGGAGAAGAAAAAAGATTTATACACTTCCTGGGTTGAGAATGAAAATGAATAAGAAGTTTCCATTCTCTGCACACTTCAGCTATTTTACATCTATGCAGTAAGTATTTACATACAGTAAGCACTTTCCAGAAAATATAGATAGATATAGTTCATGACATAAAGACATGCCTGTCAGTCTATATTTTAGACAAGGCAGCAAATGAGGGCGAGAACAAAACATGCAAAAAACTGGGCATGTTTCCCCTGTTGTGATACTGCTACAAATCTGAAAGGTGGGTAAATTTTACAAATAGGTAAACTAATGCAGAGAGAAGTTGAGACTTGCCCTTGGTCACAGCAAATCAATGACAGAGTTTCACAAATAGATGCTCAGTCTCTTGCTTTACGTGCTAGGAATTTTTATTTATTTTACTTCAAAATATAAAAATGTAGGGCCTCTCCTTCACCTGTTCCAATCCTTAAAATCAGTAAGTAACACCATATCTTTTCAATCATTTAAGTTATGAATGTAGATATGTAAAGTTAGGCTGGGCAATTTAGTATCACTCTGCCCTTCTGATATATAGCCACAAATTTAAGAAAGCCTGATACACTTATGGAACACTAATGCAAAGTTGTGTTTAACAAGTGCCCTAGTTTATATACAAAACACTAAGCACTTTGGAAGATCATACCATCATAGAATATTAGGGTTGGAAGAGACCTCAGAGGTCATCTAATCCAACCCCGTGCTCAAAGCAAGACCAATCCTCAACTAAATCATTCCAGCCAGGGCTTTGTCAAGCCTGACCTTAAAAACCTCTAAGGAAGGAGATTCCACCACCTCCCTAGGTAACGCATTCCAGTGCTTCACCACCCTCGTAGTGAAAAAGTTTTTCCTAATATCCAACCTAAACCTCCCCCACTGCAACTTGAGACCATTACTCCTTGTTCTCTCATCTGCTACCACTGAGAACAGTCTAGATCCATCCACTTTGGAACCCCCTTTCAGGTGGTTGAAAGCAGCTACCAAATCCCCCCTCATTCTTCTCTTCTGCAGACTAAACAATCCCAGTTCCCTTAGCCTCTCCTCATAAGTCATGTGCTCCAGACCCCTAATCATTTTTGTTGCTCTCCGCTGGACTCTTTCCAATTTTTCCACAACCTTCTTATAGTGTGGAGCCCAAAACTGGACACAGTACTCCAGATGAGGCCTCAGCAATGTTGAATAGAGGGGAATGATCACGTCCCCCGATCTGCTGGCAATGCCCCTACTTATACAGCCCAAAATGCCGTTAGCCTTCTTGGCAACAAGGGCACACTATTGACTCATACCCAGCTTCTAATCCACTGTAACCCCTAGGTCCTTTTCTACAGAACTGCTGCCTAGTCTGTAGCAGTGCATTGGATTCTTCCGTCCTAAGTGCAGGACTCTGCACTTGTCCTTGTTGAACCTCATCAGATTTCTTTTGGCCCAATCCTCTAATTTGTCTAGGTCCCTCTGTATCCTATCCCTACCCTCCAGCATATCTACCACTCCTCCCAGTTTAGTGTCATCTGCAAACTTTCTGAGGGTGCAGTCCATGCCATCCTCTGGATCATTAATGAAGATATTGAACAAAACCGGCCCCAGGCCCGACCGCTTGATACCGGCTGCCAACTAGAAATGGAGCCATTAATCGCTATCTGTTGAGCCCGACGATCTAGCCAGCTTTCTATCCACCTTATAGTCCATTCATCCAGCCCATACTTCCTTAACTTGCTGGCAAGAATACTGTGGGAGACCATATCAAAAGCTTTGCTAAAGTCAAGGAATAACACATCCACTGCTTTCCCCTCATCCACAGAGCCAGTTATCTCGTCATAGAAGGCAATTAGGTTATTCAGGCATGACTTCCTCTTGGTGAATCCATGCTGACTGTTCCTGATCACTTTCCTCTCCTCGAAGTGCTTCAGAATTGATTCCTTGAGGACCTGCGCCATGATTTTTCCAGGGACTGAGGTGAGGCTGACTGGCCTGTAGTTCCCCGGATCCTCCTCCTTCCCTTTTTTAAAGATGGGCACTCCATTAGCCTTTTTCCAATCGTCCGGGACCTCCCCCGATCGCCATGAGTTTTCAAAGATAACACTGGTCTACAATTTTTGAGAAGTCGTCTGCTTCAGAGATAAAATGTGCTATTA